GAAGATTATTATCCTGCCTCCAGTAAGTTCCTTTATTCTTCACGTATTCGAACCCAAGAATGGTAAAGTTTCAATCTTTTTGTGAATTTTTTTTTTTCCTTCATCGTGTTATTGGTATGATAATTTTGTTGTTTTTTTTTTTCTTTTTTAAACTTCTAACAGTGTACTGAATTGTCTGTATACGAGAGCATGGCTAAAGTTTCTGATTTATTGCTCAATTTCTTTTTTTTCCCTAAATTCGTTTTCCATGTATTAGTTGTTGAATTGTATCATAGATTTTTTTTTTTTTATTAATTACATCCATTTGAATTTTGGGTACAGTTTCCCATAGGACAAATGTTGTTTGTATTCATAGACATAGTAAAACAATCAAGAACTATGAGTAATCAGCTCATATCTTACACTGCTTCCCTGTCAACAGATTTAACTTACGGAAACATGATGGATTATTATTCAACCAACCCTGGACCTATCGATGATTCTATCTTATACGATCAAGACAAGCATGTCTCAGCTGCCGTTTGGGAAGGGCAGGTGTTTTTCTATGCAAGATTTTCCTCTCTCTCTCTCTCCTTCTCTCTATCTATCTATCTATCTATCTATAATGAAAGTATTCTTGTAACTTGTATTACATCTAATTCTAACACTAACAGGAGAGGGGTGCACTCAGATGCCACGAGCACACCTCCAAGCTCGACCGCTGGCTGCTTACAGACAAACAGATAGAACTCGTTAAACGAGCCGGTTTTGGCTATCTGAGATTAATCCCGGCAATCAGCCTCGACAATCCTCTCATATCTGCTTTGGTCGAGAGATGGAGAAAAGAAACAAACACGTTCCACATGACAGTTGGCGAGATGACCATCACACTCGAGGATGTTGCTTACTTGCTTGGGCTGAGAATAGATGGTGAACCTGTTATAGGGGTAACTTACACCGCTTGTGACTCGGTTTGTGTCAAGTATTTGGGTAAGTCGCCCGACTCTGGGTACACAAGTGGCGGGATGGTGAAGCTGAGCTGGCTAAAGGAGGCTTTCTCCGTGTGTCCTCAGGATGCGTCTGCGGAGGAAGTCAAGTGCCACACGCGCGCTTACCTTCTTTATCTCATTGGGAGCACGATTTTTTCGACTACTACAGGTAACAAGGTGCCTGTTATGTACCTTCCGTTGTTCGAGGATTTTGACGAGGCTGGAAAGTACGCTTGGGGTGCAGCTTCATTGTCGTTCTTGTACAGGGCGCTCGGTAATGCCTCTCTCAGGTCGCAAAGCACTATCAGTGGCTGTTTGACCCTACTGCAGGTTGAGTTTAATGCTGTCTTGGTTTGCTCTTTCTTGAATTTTTTTTCCCTTTTGTGCTTGTTAAAGGAAAATGGGAAAAAAACGCAGCTTATTTTGCAGTTTGATTCTGTAAATTTTGAATCTTTTCTGTTTCTCCAGAAATTTCGAATCAGTAAATTCTGGTTCTTGATGGTATAAGTTTGGTGTGATTTCGTTACCGAATTGCTAAGTCAATATTCCCTTTTACTGACCCTAATGTCCTCATTCAATGCACTAGATAAGAATGCTTGTGAAGCTTGTAGGACTGAATTACTATTTGATTGGTGGTCATCATTGAAAGATTTAAAGGGCTAAACTGCTAACTCTCAGAAGTTACGCATGTGCCGCTATACCACACGTACACTTACCTATGACAATTTTTCGGTTCATAAAATTCTGAAGATGGGTTTTGTAATTATGTCGTTAAATTGCAAGTTTCCTCTTTTTTGTAGTGCTGGAGTTACTATCATCTGAATGTTGGCAGGCCCAAGCTCCATCATGACCCGATTCACGAATGCTTTCCTTTTGTACTCAGATGGAAAGGAAAACACAGTGGTCCGACCTCAAATCGTGATGTGGTATTCTATCGTAAGGCATTGGATTCTCTAAAACCTGCTGATGTGAGTTCAAAAACACCATTTTTCAAGAAATTTTGCAACTTTCTGTAATGGTATACCGTTCGGCGAACTTGAGTTTTTTTTTTTTTTTCCTAAAACAGGTCGATTGGTGCCCTTATGCTAATATCAGCCACACAGTAATACCCGAGGATATCCTGAAGCAATTAATCCTAGGAAGATCCAAGACTATGTTGATATGTTTCGATAAGGCAGAAAGGCACCTTCCGGACCGTTGCCTGAGGCAGTTTGGGATGCACCAAACGGTCCCTGAAGACGTGCAGAGATGGGAGAGGAAGACTCGTGGTGTTGATGGAGGGGTAGATTTGTCCGGCAAAATGGAGACCGAGCTCAGTGAGTGGGCTAATCGTCGTTTTCATATTGTTGAGGCTGAGGAAGATTTGGATGAGGGTGAGTATATGAGCTGGTACTTGAGAATTACACGAAGGATGGTGGGGAGGCCTATTCCTATTTCGTCCGAGTTTCAAAGAATGGTGAGCCTTTGCATTTTTTATTTTTTTTTCTCCAAATGAGATTAAATAAGCATACTTGTGGTTTTGATCATTCAGGATTTTAAAATCCCGGTTGAAATTAGTTTCTCTTCTACAAATGGTACCGAGGGGAAGTGGTATATCTTGTTGAATTAGTATCACATCAAGAAGTTGCTTCACTTTCTTGTAACAATTTAAGGAAGTATATGTTATGTTGAGAAATAACCGTTTTCTTGCAAATAGTGTAAAAATTTGGGGTATATCTTCGTGCTGGATAAATATAAAAATTTCCCTTTAGATTTGGATTTTGGACTAGTTAAAAAAATTTCAGTAGTGTATATATGATATATACAGTATTAAAAAAAAAAAGAAAAAATGCATTAAGGCTTGATATCTTACATTTTCAATTGGTGCTTTGAAATGTGTTTCTGCTTTTTGCGGTGATCAGTTTCGCTATGGAGCCATCGAATGACACGACTTATGGATCCATCCACATTTATTCACAAATAGTGTATTGACACGTGTCCTACAATAAATACACGTTGGATAGGTGTCTATATTAAGTGATGGATGACTCCATATGAAAACCATCCGATGGCTCCATAGAATTCTGGAGGGTGAATATGCAAGATGGAATAAAATTTTAAGTAATTGTTTGTTTGTTTGTATTTCTTATCTGTAAAAACCCGTGGATACGATTAGAAAACACATCTTTTTGCGCTGATCATTCTTTGCGCATTTATAACCGTACTTTTTTATCCCTAAACGTTTTATGTTATCTTAGACTGCTGCATTGAGGGACATTGCCGAAATAGCAGATACACTCTCCACACACGGAATGGAGGACCAGCAAATACAATCCGTGACAAGAATCCGCTATATTGCGCATGAGTGCCTACGGGACCACGCCGGGTCCTCGGCCCTTCTCTTGACCAACTCTGAGGACGAAATCGGAAAGAAAAGTCGAGGGAAGGAAAGGGTCAGGAGGCGGAGCACAGGCAAACGAAGGCGGAAAGAAGACTTGGATGACCTTTATACCCCTAGCTTTCATACACAGTCCCATTTTTATCCTTCGGCCTCTAACCATAATGATGATGGGGAAGAACAGGTGTATCATG